CGCATGACCCAAATCTTTTGTAACAGCCTCGCCCACATCGCCGTATTTTCTACAGGTAGCTACGCCCCAGATCCCCATCTCGGCATTCGTTCAGCCTATTTCAGCCTATTTCCTCCTATTCCCGTCATTTCAGTTTTTTTTTTTTTTTTTTTTTTTTTTTTTTGCCTGAGCTAATTATTTCAGGTATTATGGTGTATTTTTCCCTCTTTAACTGCCACTTCCTTCTTAATGGGTCATTATGTAAATGCAAGAGCAAAAGTAGATATACTGACCGATTCTATGTACATTTTCATATCTTACCGGTTATATTTTTTCGATTTATGGCAATTGGTGGTCAATGAGCGCCGATGTCTATCTTGCAGTGACTTCTTTTGGGTAATTACTCGGAAAACCTTCGCACGACCATCATGATGATATTGGTATGTATGGATTCCTCTTGTATATTACCTATAGAGATTATATTGCGCCCCCCCCCATTACCATTATCATAGCCCGCGCAGCTAGGGAGAGGGCATGAATGGTACATGGGAAAATGCCTACTGTCAACATGAAAGCAACTGCTGCTGTTGTGGAGGCTTTTCATAACTCCGAACCTAAAACTGGACAAAATGCAGTACGAGGTAGTGGCGGAGTTGGGAAATAAAACATATATGAAAGAACAGAACGATAAAAACTAAGACAATCTTCTTTTTGGCAATATTTGTTCAAATGCTTCCTAAAGGCGCTATACGTAAAGAACAGGTTTTCTGCAGGAAATCCACTGATTTCTACGATTTTGGGCGTTTTTGTGGACGTGAATCGTTGAGATCTGAGTAGCCTTTCCAGCGATAATCTTTATTTGGGTCGCTGCAGCTGAAACTGTTACTGTATTTCTTACGCTCTGGAAGATGTTCTCCATTCCCCTCTATCTCTGTGCGTCGCTCGTAGTATCCTGTATCCAAAAGGGCTTCAATACAGCATAAATAACCACGAAATCCACCGACACGATTATTTAAGAAAAAATCTACGGATGTCCAACCAATCTTTCGGTAAAATCTACGACTACTGATTGTTCTTTTCTTTTAAATGATATATTTTAGACCGTAATAATTTTATGATCTAGATTTACACTGCAATACTATTATATAATGCTTTGACCATGTATCAAATGTACCACAGCTTGCCCACGCCTGTGCAGTTAGCCAGGGTGGTAAATAAAGGACTAAACTAAACTAAACTAAAATCTACGACCATGCCGCCACCACCAAAAAGCCCCTATCGGACCCCCGTAGTCGCCAGACAAAGCGTCCTAATGAAACATCCAACCTAACCTAAGTTGCCCCCTGGACCCCCGTGGTATTACATGCGCTTATCCGGGGGCTACGCCTCTGGACCCCCGTGGTAGTATGTGTGATTAGCCGGGGGGCTTCGCTTCCTGGATCCTCGTACGATATAACTGTTCCTAATAATTTGCTCGCTGAAAACCACATAGCTTTATGCAGCGAGAACATCCATCTTTTCTTACACTCCATCGATTATCTGAATCTTGTCTGTAATCGCTTTCTTCGACCTTTGTGACGCCAGCTCAGATGTGAAGCTGAGATGGTTACGAATGTCATTTCTTCTTCGCTGCGCTGTATAGTCTGAAAAAAGAAACCCTTCTCGCCGACGCTTGTCAAGGAATGGAGTCTCTGGCACATGAACCAAAACCCTTCGCTGCATTTCCCCGGCCCGGCATGAGTGCTGCTAACCGTTTTCGTAATTTCTAAATGATAGAATTTGCCTGAGCAGATCATTTCGAGCATGTCATTTGTCATTAGTTTCCCTAACGTGGTGCAATCATAGGAATATTACTTGTCATTAGTTTCCCTAACGTGGTGCAATCATCATAGGAATATTACTCGTTGCACAACTCTTACCAACTTGCGAAGGAAATGTCGTAGAGGAAGATTTTGTATTTTTTTGTCGTTCTCTTCATCGCGGGCAAAGTTTACCACGTATGGTGTGGCTGTGAAACTGCAACTAGACCAAAGAGATAACTGTACTCTAATTTTGATTTTAAAAAGTACATTTGTGAGCTCTTCTTGTGCTTCGCGACTACTACTCTCTGTAGGGATCCAATATAGTCCTTAAGATTTAGAACTACACATATTAAATATAAATAATTGATTGAAAATGCATTGCCAGAAGTTTCGATTATGAATTTTAATTATTTCGTATCCGACTCTCAAAAGTTGTAATGGATTTGCGGAATGCGTTATAGAGTTTGATCGGTTTTCCGAAAGTACTTTTCCCAGATAATTCATTGGAAAATATAAGGACGCTGTAATAAGAGTAGAACTGTGCACTCAACGATGTATGAAATACTTTGCGTGGGTCATGAATAACCTCATATACTTTAAAAATAAAATTTTTAACGGCAAATGCAAAGTTTGCCGGTGCATCGGGATAGAAATTATATATAATGGGTTCGCTTTTGCCTAGCTTACTGTTTGTGAAATAACAGTTTGGATAATGGGCAGGAAAGGTAATAACGTAACATGATAATACAGTGAGATTTTATTTGGGGGGGGGGGGTTAGATGTATTTTAGGTGCCGTTCCACATTATTTATTGCATAAATCATTAATCAGGATCCAGATAATCATATATCTCCTGTTGACTCCTTGAGGCGCTTTCAGAAAGTGATAGGATTTAATCCTTGTAAGATTTAAATATTCCACATTTTGCAGTACTGATGACAAGTGCATCAAGGCTACCAAGCCTGCTCGCAAATGTCAGTTTCTGATATGGAATCTGAAACTTCTCGTGGCATTTAGTCCACAACTCGACGTCACAAACTATCCAACAATCTTGCCGTGATTGGGCAGTGCCTTGTAGATTGATAGGCTCCGCCCGCGTCAGCCCGGCAACAATCTTACCGTGATTGGGCATTGCCTTATTGATTGATAGGCTCCGCCCGCGTCAGCCAGGCAACAATCTTACCGTGATTGGGCAGTGCCTTATGGATTGATAGGCTCCGCCCGCGTCAGCCGGCAACAATCTTACCGTGATTGGACATTGCCTTATTGATTGATTGGCTCCGCCCGCGTCAGCCCGGCAACAATCTTACCGTGATTGGGCAGTGCCTTATTGATTGATTGGCTCCGCCCGCGTCAGCCCGGCAACAATCTTACCGTGATTGGGCAGTGCCTTATGGATTGATAGGCTCCGCCCGCGTCAGCCCGGCAACAATCTTACCGTGATTGGGCATTGCCTTGTTGATTGATAGGCTCCGCCCGCGTCAGCCCGGCAAACAATCTTACCGTGATTGGCATTGCCTTGTTGATTGATAGGCTCCGCCGCGTCAAGCCCGGCAACAATCTTACCGTGATTGGTAGTGCCTTGTTGATTGATAGGCTCCGGCCGCGTCAGCCCGGCAACAATCTTACCGTGATTGGGCATTGCCTTGTTGATTGATAGGCTCCGCCCGCGTCAGCCCGGCAACAATCTTACCGTGATTGGGCATTGCCTTGTTGATTGATAGGCTCCGCCCGCGTCAGCCCGGCAACAATCTTACCGTGATTAGGCATTGCCTTGTTGATTGATAGGCTCCGCCGCGTCAGCCCGGCAACAATCTTACCGTGATGGGCATTGCCTTATTATTGATTGGCTCCGCCCGCGTCAGCCCGGCAAACTGTCTCACCTCGGCATCCACAGCAAGATGCTGAAACTCGGGAAACCGAGTGGACAAGCGGATCTTTCCCTTAATTTGTAGCGTTAAAGTTCATTCTCGTTTATTTCTTGTATCGACGACGGCAGTTTTATTTGTCCCTTGCTTAATGCGCCCTACGTCGTGAAGATTCAAAATAAACATCGAATGAAATTTAAATTAAAATGCCAAAAAGTACTGGATTTTCAATAATTTAGATTCAACAAGCGGGGCCGCATAATCAGTGGATGTTTTTTTTGTTGTTTTTGTGTAAAAATGTATCGTTGTAAAGTTCAAATATTCACCACAGTACACTCGTATGTACAAGTGTGTGTACGTATATAAAATAATATATAATATATATATATATATATATAATATTATATATATATTATATATATATATTATATTACATGTATAGTGTTGTGTGTTTGTGTAATGTGTATTATATATACAATATCTTCAATGGAATTGCTTTTCAGCCGAACAAGATATGTCAGGCAATCAGGTGTTGCATGCTCGCAGATTGTGGGATACAGAAGTAGTACGTGACTACTGATAATGAATATCAATTTGAAAACACTTTGCAGTTAATGCTAGCGGCGGCAGCGGTCTTCGTAGCCAGGGGCACGCCACTCCCAGCCTACGAGTAAGTAAAAATCTAGACTCGGTTAATATAATGAACTTTTCAGCTTCATTTCTTAGTTGTTTTAATTGGCGGGAATTTGCTGGATTCCTTTACAGCCCATTTCTCTTGACTCGTATGGGTTTTGAAAAAAATAATAATAATAAATAAAAGACGCTCTAACCCCATAAACGACGCATATTGGATCAGAGAAGATTTAATGTGTATAAAGATATTTGTAATTGTGTGTGGATTCCAGGTACTCGTGCATTCATTACTGCGAGTCCCTCTACGGCCCCGAAGTGAGGCCCTACTGCTGCAGGATGGCTAGAGTGTTCCTGGAAGAGGAGAGAGAGGAAGGAGAGGATTCGAGGAACAGTGAATATCGCCCCATTGTAGAAAGTAGGTTCACTGGACTCCTTGTTTATATTTATACATTTAGGAAAGGAATATAACTAGATTCAAATTCATAATGGATGATATTGCACGTTGCTTTTATTTTGTGTTGCTGTGATATTGAATTGTGTATATTGTACCAAAATATCTCATGAAAGCTGAACAGTATTATTATTATTTTACCTTTTTACGAAAGCCGAGTATTTATAATCATTTTCTTTTTTTCTAGAAACCTGAGTGTCGACGAATGCCCCCCAGTTCGGTCTTTCTGCCCACGGGCGGGACACTACGTGGTGCCGTTGGTGGGTATCACATTTCTTTAGCATAAAAAGAAAGTTTTGAATGCGCACGCGTCGGTTCGTTTCCCGTCATCTGCCTTTACATATCTGATTTTTTTTTTTTTTTTTTCTGTGCTTTCATGGCCCTCTGCTCTGCCTTTTGATTGTGAAGACAGCAGGTGGCCGTAGGTACACGGTGAGGTCAATTTGGCAAATGAAACAATGGTTTTTAAAATTCCTTTCTTGCTTCCAGGCGGTTTTTGTCCTGTTAATGTTATAACTAAGTTATTCACATTTCCTTTATTAGATGCTTAATTCTGTTTCTTCCACGAGCAATTATAGGTTATATATTTTATTCCTTAAACCAGTGTCTCAACTAGTTTTCCATCTATTTATAGGTGTGTAGCAACGACGGAGTTTGCACCTCGCCTGATAAATGCTGCTACGATGCATGTCTGGACACCAACATTTGCAAAACCGCCGTCAAACGGTACCGAAGGTCGTTTCCGGACCAAAGCGACAGCGATGACCTCGGGGCAGCCAAGGTCTCCAGTGTCATCTTGACGGAGGGAGGAAACCCTGTTAGTGTCGTTGTTGATGGCGGTGGCAATCCCGTGACACTGGTGGAAGGAGATGCTGTGACAATCGTTGCGACAGTAAACATTCAAAATCTAACCTATTTGTCAGAGTCGGATAGCGTAACCTCAAAGAAAACGAGGAGAGCAATTGTAGCTGAAAGTGAGAGAGTATCTAGCAACGTCATATTATCACCTGTTGACGCCGTAAGCATTATAAAAAACAGGTATGGCAATGTTATTGTAAACGAAGATAAGCCACTGATATTGGTGCAGAGGGAAAGGGGTCCCACCATAATTCTAAATGACAATGGCTTGAAAGTGATAGCTGGGCATGACCCAAGTGAGGGTGATGTCTTGGGAGTTGTCACCCTACTACTGTTCCGTATCTAGAAGTGCATTCGCATCATCCACCGTCGAGCGACCCAGAGAAGGACCCCATTAGGGTTCTGGTGAAGAGCGATGGCAACCCGGTACACTCGTGGACGGAGACGGCCCACTGCACGTCCAAAACGCTGATGGAGTGTCCTTTGTGGCCGATGTTCCAGAAGTCGCTGCTACAGAAACGCCTGGCGTGCATGTTTTACCAGTGACAGTTACGGACCATATAAATAAATAGACCATCTCACAGTTGATAGTGCTGGTAACCTTTCAAAGGTAAAAGATGGCAGCGGCGTCTTAACAGTATCGAGAACTGCTGAAACCTCCTATGAGGCTTCTGCGGAAGAAAATTCCTTGTATGTTCGACGACGAAGATCGCTGTCTCGGCGAATGCTATCGTTGATGGAAACGATATAACGGTGACATTAGTCAATGCCTCCCATGTCGACTTAGATATAGTAGATATATCAGGCACAAAATTGATGTGGTGGCCGGTGATCATATTTTAAATATCGGGGAATCCTCACTGGCTACAGTAGAGTTTGTTGAAGGTAGACCTGCAGTCCGGGATGAAAATAACAGAATTCTGCTGGATGAAATGGGTTCACCTCTAACTGTTAAGCCGGCAAGAAACACACAGCCATTGCCAGCAGTCTACAGTATTGCCGATGGAAAGCATAAGCCAGTTAATTTAGTAGCGAGTGACGGTACACCTGTACATGTTTGTGATTCTAATGGAAATGAACTCGCACTTAATGGAGGAGTCTCGGATTTGGAGGTATCTCAGGAACGGTTTCTGTTATGAAGAGCTCCTCAGGGGAAGAACTTCTCTTGCAGAATGGCGAGGCCTTAGCAGATGAAGATGGAATGCTGCTGAAGGCCACGTCCGTGAACACGCGACAGTACAGTGAGATTTCCACAAATGTCTTGGTGGATGGAGATGGCAACACCGTAAACTTGTTGAGCACAAATGGCTCTCCAGTCACAGTTATCGACGATAGTGATAATGTAGTTTCCGTTAAACCTGGAAATAAAATATGATAATAGAGGATTTCAAAGTTACCGTTCTACTTGAGAACGCGATGATGGTTCTAAAGAAAGCTTCAGGAGAACTAGTGGTCGATGAAAATGGTTCACCGGTCACCCTTGTACCTGAACATACATCTAGGCGGAGACCCTATTTACCCAGTGAAGGCCACGGATCATGGATTCTCATGACAATACAGTGACTCTAACTGACGTCCACGGATTCCAGTAACACTGGATGATGGAAAGGGTAATAGCGTGAAGACTGTGGCTGGAGAAATCATGATGGTAACGGAGTCTGCAACAGCTTTCATTGTTGAAACTGATGAAGGAAAACGGCTTGCCGATGAAAATGGGAACATCATTGTCGATAGTGAAGGAAATGCTCTTCTGTTTGTCCCCACAAGAGAAATTGTTTCAACACAAGTAACCAACGTTATTGTAGATGGAACCAACAACACTGTTCAGTTATTGAGTGTGAAAGGTTCTCCTATTACTGTTATTAATGGACAGGGTAACGACGTAGCCGTGAGAGATGGAGATGTTCAACTAGTGAAAAATACCAACAGAGCCATGGTAGTGGATATGGACGATGGCAGTGAAGTGTTAGTGGATACTTCCGGTAGCATCCTGACAGACTTGAATGGAAAAAAATTGAGGTTAATGACCGAAAGGAAGAAAGCACAGAAAGTTGCAGTAAATGTCCTTGTCGAATGGCGAGGGCAAACGGTAACTCTCACAAACTTAGAAGGAACGCCTGTAACATTGCTCGATGACGAAGAGGTGGTGGTCACGATGGCAGGCGAGGTCCGGCTTGCTGTGGATGGCACTAACACTGCTAGAGTTCGACGATCGTCGTCTGAAGTAAACGTTGTTGATGAGGAAGATTACCTGTTGGCTGACGACAAAGGTAAGCTTCTAACTATGAAAAAGGTTGGCGAGCACAAGAAAACCTCCGTAGCTACAAACATGCTAGTTGATGTGGAAGGGAACTCGATACCCCCGAGAGACTTGAATGACTCCCCTGCAACTGTTGTTGATAATTCTGCCAACATCATCGGCCTCGACTCGGGAGAGAAGACTCTTAAAGTCGAGACGACTGGCGTTTTCATGGAGACGGCAGATAAAGACTTGCGCTCCCTAGAGAGCGATGACACCCACAAGCGGAAACTGCAGATTGACGACGCCGGCAACCCAGTGCACAGCGAAAACGGCCCCGTCCAAACTGTCCCAATAAACGACGTAGACTTGGCCCCAGAAGCTGATAATTTCCTTATAGTGACGGAAGAATTCGTCGAAGCGAGTTTCAGTCTTCAGCGCCTTGTTGCAGTTGTGAAGCGCGAGCAACACCTTATGCAACTTAATCTTGTGCGGAAATCGTCCACTATAAAATCTAGGAATTACGAAAGCTTTGTTGGGGAGATAAATTTGTTTGTGGACGTGGTAGGCAAGCTTCAAGCAAAGTGCCTTAGGAAGATTATGGAGCTCTTGGAGAAAGAACATGGATCTCACAAGGAGGAGGCATATGCATTACTGGAAGAAGTGAATGAAATGTTACCAAATAATATCCCATAGACTAATCAACGGATTGTATATTCTTAATCTATAATTGTAATTCATATGAAATATTTTTTATGTCTTATGATGATTATTTAATAATTCTATCAACTATACTTCACCCTTTCCTCGTCTCGTTCCCGTGACTGTTTTTGAGTACTTTTGAGCTAAACAGCAACATTTAAACTGGAAGTGTGTTCAAGTTGTGTAGAAAATTAATAAACAGTGGTAAACATTGCCCGAAAGACAAATTAGACTGGCTATTATTTAAACTTTGACGAGTTCATTCCATTGTTACTTCGTATTAAGAGTGGAAGGGGAACATGAAGAGGAGGATGGATGGATGTCGGTCACTTTTGAGTGTAGAGGGAATGAGAGGGTACTTGAGGGATAAGCATGATTTCTTGGGTCATTAACTATTTTTAAATGTCAAGAGTTTCTGAAAGGGAGATTGTGGAGGTCTGAGAAATGAAGGTTGCCTTGTGAGAGGGAGAAAAGAGGATAGTCCTCTTGAAGAGCTAAGGAAGAGAGAGTTGTAGGAGAGGATGCGGCAGATGACGGGGGGGAACTTTGGATTGTCTGATGCGATGGGTAGAGCGAGGTGTAGGTATCGGGAGGAAGAGGTGGTGATGCCGAGTAAGCTGCGGATAGATGAACAATAACCATTAACCATAGGGAAGGTGAAACGAAGAACATGTATGAGATGGAGTGGAGGATGTTGGAAGAGGAAGGACGGTTTTCTGATAATTGGGTAATGACCTGGTTTGGTGCCTTGAATGAACTGAGCTGACAGCAGGTGTCGAGGAGGGGGTAGTAGTGGCAGTGTTCGAGAGATGTGATCGAAGGTGAGCTAGGGGTCGGATAACCGGGAAGTTCGTCAGTGGGCTAGCTTATAAAGGGGCAAGCCTCAATGCCCCTAATAAGGGTACAAAATCATTGACCATGGTAAGCCTTTGGATATGTGGGGATGAGAAATGGTCCTCCCCTCAGGGTCCCCAAGAGGGGTACGGGCTAGACAACTAAAAGGAATATTGTGTCCATGGCCCCCTGAGGCTGTTCAGGATTGCCCAAAGCTAGACTTTTATCCTTTCAACTCGGCTCTCATCTCTTAAGAAGTGGACAGAAGGGTTTGGAGATCAGAATAAGGAAAGGGAGAGACCTTGCAAAAATGGTGGCAAAATTGGTTGAGCGAGGACTGAGTCCTAAGGTAGGGGAAATCCCAATATTGGCCTTAATTTCCGTCTCCTAAGCCCCTCCCCCAAAACTGGCATGGAGGGGGGATGCTGCTCGTGTAGACAGGCCATTATTCTCACTGTTAGGATAATTTCTGGTGTGACAGTTCTTTTCTTAAACAAGAAATATATCCACCACCTATCATCACATGTTCTTTTTTTTATCTATGCAGTGTGTACTCCTTACAGTAATTAACCCAATTATTTAACTTTTTCTGCATGCGAGATAAAGAATATATAGCACTTCAATTCCAATCTGTAGGCTTTACATCAAGATATTCCTTAGGTCAACAATGGGCAATGGTGATCCCCTATATGTTCAAGTAAAGGATTGTTGAATTAAATATTCACAAGATTACTATGATTACTTACAATTTATTTATTAGGCCATACCCATTGCTTCTTGCAATGATTTCAAGATAAGCAACGTTCTTCACTGTCAGATGTCCTAATAAATTCTGCAGCCAATAGGACTTGCCGTTCTAAGAGGTTTGCGTCTACCACAGTATGTATACATACATTAAAGGATTAAAAGCAAAATCATAATCCAAATATAGATTAACTTGTATATTACCTCCTTAAGCACATCAGTTTAGCAAGTTACTATATTGATCACAATATACAACTGATATGTCTGCATGTATCTTGATTATTAATCTAGATACCAGTAATTACAAAGGCCAAAGAAAGCAAATATGTTCTTGGTGAAAAATGACTTACAAACATACTTGCACTGACACACGAGAACTAAATGCACAAATTAAGAATCTGGTATATATGTGTATTTGAAATTGTCAAAAATCAAGTTACATCCTTTGAATTATAGGTAGTGTGAATAAAATAAAACCAAAGTAAATCTGTGAAGGTGTATTTTATTAACCATGTTTATATTTCAATGCACACCTATATTTACATTTTATACTTGATGAAATAAATGACCACCATTATAAAAGCTTATTTTATAGCATACTAAAAATGTTCTCAAACAATGTCTTTAATTAGTTTCAACATCTTTTATACAGCAACTTAATAAAGAAGAAATTGCTTGTAGTATTTTTACTTTCCAACTGTTAAAGACCTATTTTGTTTCACTGGAATAGCACTGAAAAATACCTTCTAAACAGTAGAAAAAAAATAAAATTTTAGTTGTGTAAATACTACCTTTCTTCTCTGCCTTGTCCTAAAGGCACTGCAAATGCTTCATAAACATTTGCTCCAAGTGTGTCTAATTTGCTGTCAATAAGAATCTTCTGAAGAAGTTGTCCAGGAGCAGGGGAGAGAGCTGCATGAATTAAACCAGAAAAAACTGGCACCAACTTAGCCACAGGAAGAACCGAGTCATTGAGAATTGAAATATTTTGTGCTACAAAATTTCTACAGGCATCATTCCTTTCCTCATTTGAAGCAACACCTGTGGGTGAATCTCTACTGATGTTGTCAACCCAGTTCTCAGAACCAATATTTGGTAAGTCTGACTTTGACATAGGGTAGAAATCTGCCACACGATCAAGAATGTGGTTGAAACCATGTTGTATTAGTGTGTCCACAACTGTGTTGAAATCTTCACTATCTATAACATCACTGGTTTCTATTAGCATATTGTAAAGGACCCTTTCTTCACCATCTTCTTCCGGGGCAACTGGGGGTTTCAGGACATATTTGCTCCATTGGTCAAGCTTGCATGATGTTCCCGCTGGAGCTGACTCTGATGATCCACTTTCCCCTGCTAGACTTAACCTAACCTCTTGGTATATGGCTTCTAACTGGCTAAGTGTGAGGGAGCGAGTCAAAGGCAACCCTGTGACTATACGAGTCACAGCTCTAGTTACATGGTGCGCAAGTCTAGGGACACCTTCTTCCACCAAATAATGGACTGCTGCAAGATATTTTTGCTGAAGACCTTGTGAAATTGGTATCCCTGCATGGCCTGACTGTATCAAGTCTCCATATGTATAACCTCCAAGTAACATTAGCTGTACACGTATAGCAGAAGCTACTAAGCTTGATATGTATACCACACTTATTGCACGACTAAACCCAACTATTTTCAGCTGCTCCCAAATGGCAAGTTTATGTTCTGGCTGATCACGGACTGCTTGTAGGAGTGCATCTGTATCTAGTTCTCTACAAACAACTTCTCTCATGCTACCTGCCAAGCTCATAACTGTTGCATTTGCTGTTCTCTGGGTATTTTCATAGTGATGATGCTTCTTTTGTTTTTCCAGCATTGTTCTTGTTTGCTGTTCATGCCATTGCAGAAGCTTATACTCCGCATATCTGCTTAGAAGGGCTACACCTCCAACAATGGCTCCCCCTATGATAAATTTCCTTTTGTGCCGACTCAAAAACGATCTGATCCTTGAAAACATGGTGGCTTATGATTTTTTTCCTTCTTTCTATGAATTATATTTTATGAAATGTCCAACTACGTCCTACACTTACAAATGTCTTACTGAAGCAGGATGATTCACTATTTCTATTTTTCAAGGGCATTAGTCACCAGCTTTACCACTAGACTAGTCCATTATTTGCTTTTACATCCCTGATGAAGTTGCGACTTTCTGAAGACGATTTGCAACAAAGTTATTTGAATCGATGAACCTCTCCACGCAATTGGTAATGCAGCTCTCAGTGCGTGACTCGAGTCTTGTGGACGGCCGGTCCATGCACTTGTCCCAACATTTCTCAGTCAGGCCATGCACCAGGAACTGCAAATGTGAAAAAACACTAAATATTGTATACATAATATATAAAGAAACAAAAGAAATTAAATCCCTGGAAATAACAAAGAATTCTTGTTTTATAGAAGTGCAATAAATTTCATATGCAACTAAAAGATACTAAACTTTTCATATTCTTTATAAAAGACTAAGATATTTTCTTTGCAGGTATCAGCATAAAATCAGTGTTTGGTAATTACCTTTGAAACTAGACTTACAGAAAAAGATGAATGATCTCCAGTGAGTTAATAGTAAGTGTCAATCATAATTCTACAGATATAAACCCAATTCATGTGTTTGTATCCTATATCTACAAAAACATCTAAGCTGTTAAGTTGATTTAATTTTTGTTGTTCATAGAATAGTATTAATGGAGTATAATATATCCCAGTTCTTCAATGCTGGCAAAAGTTAACAATCCTTTGATGTTGATATACTGTGATATTCTTTTAGCAAAGCAGAACCTGACGATGATGATGCCCCCTAAAGTGCATACACAGAGCATGTAGAGTTTGTATTAGTGTGTCGCCACTTAGGTGTCAAAATGGGTTTGTAGTACTAAGGGTGCATCCACACCAGTGACATGTTGCTTGGAGACAAATTGGAAACATAGTGGGGGCACAAAGAGGCATTCAGATACAACTCTCCCGATATGTATAGGGACTTTTCTGTTACAATGTTGAGAGACATGCCGGCAATAAGAGTCGACTTGGTGAAACTGTCCACACCATGTTGGTCTGTTCGTTGGTTGGGTCTCTGACGACATCACCTCGTCCACTCCAGGATGGATAACATGTCAACCAACATGTCTACTGGTTCCTCTACGACTTAACAACTTGTTACCCAACTTGTCAAACTTAATGTTCCCACTGTGTTTTGTCACTGGTGTGGAGACCTTGCCAGTGTTTTACCTGAATTACAGCCTTATTAGGGAGGTAGCAATAAGAGTCTTCATTGTGACAAATGTAGAAATAGGTAAGTATAAAAATTAATATCTTCAAAGCACAAGAGATACTTTTTTGACTATATCTTCATCAAAAAGGCATGGCAAAGATATAATTGAAACAGCTCAAATACATCTCTTGTGGTGTGAAGATATTCATTCCCATTCATACCATTTTCTATAAAAGCAAGAGAAAGTGTAGCAGTTTTTGTTGTAATCAATGTAAGACACTGAGCAAATCATACCAGTACTAGTTTTTATTAACAGATTCACATCCAACTATGATTCTTTCCAATAATAATGCAAAAATTGTTCAGCACTGATATAACAAATATAAGTCCCATATCTGGTTAGTGTCTTAAGTTTTGCATGATTCAGTATGTGCCATCAGCACCACTTCAGTCACCCAATATTTGTTCCTTGCACAAAGCATATAGAACAGGGGTTCTTAGCCTGGGATCCATGAACCCCTAGGGGGTCCATAGAGGGTTTCAGGAGGTTCCACAAGAATTTTTTTTATTGTTTAATTTGAAGTTTTATACTTTGTGTATCCCATATATGTATGAATCAATCAAATCTTAATAAATTAAGTACATTATACACATCGCATGCAAAGTTGCATTTATGTAAATATATCTGGCTAAGGGGTATGTAGCTTCCATCAGCAGCTTGACTGGTTCTTAAGATTTTAAAGTTAAGGCCCAGTGCTGTAGAATGTGTATCATATTTTCCTGTTTTCTTTGACTTTGTATCAGAAGTGTGAAGTGCTGTCAAACATTCTATAATTCTTATTTTCCATTCCATATACATTTACTTAAGCAATACCTTGCATAATCAAGCTCGTTAATCATATCAGCAGCTCCATCTCTTAGGTCCCTTCACCTTTCCCTCCTAGTATGACTACCAGGTCAGCATTCCCTTCCTTCCCTGCACAAAATTTGACTATTTATGAAACTCCAAAAATAAATCTTTTTATAATAATAATAATTGTCAATATTATTATTGTGGTAATCATATCTATAATCATACTCATCACAAAAAAAAGTAGTTACAACAATAGTATAAAACAAGAATTAGTAATAATTATATTTACAATAATAATAAAGTAGAAAATTAACGGTGCATCATATTCTCATCATCTTTCATTTCAAAAGGAAAAACAGGCACTGACACGTGTAACTGTTGCTAGGCTGCTTCTTTCAATGTTGACTTTAGAAAAACTTTATGATGATGATGCTATCTAATTCATGTCCACATGTCTTTAAAGAACATGTAGGTAGTACTTATGTTTAACAATTTTGTACTAAAAGAAGTGTATTATGATATGGAATAACATTTTGTCTTCATATTTGCAGTCTGCAGATAGATTCAATATTTTTCCTGCATTTCACCTAAATATATATATATATTTTTTTTGAATTGTAAAATACAATATCAAATTTCCATACAGGTTTTTATTTTATTTTCTCTCTCTCTCTCTCAAGTGATGCAATTTGGTTCAAATTTGTACCATCTTGTGAAGGGATAAAAAAAAGAAAAAGAAAAGAAAAGAAAATTATTACAGATTTATTGCTTATCTCTTTTATGGCATATGTGGTAACATACAAGAAACCTCACAATCAAAAATATTTCAACCTTATTTGAGTCTAATTTCCAACCTAATGTTAAAATCTTTCCTGAGAAAGAAAGAAAAAAAAAAAAAAAAAAAAAAAAAAAAAAATTCATCCCGTTATTAGCAGTCATAAAAAAAAATACTGAATTCCATCTAAACTACATGACCTATTATCTCTGATCTAATAATGAGACACAGTTATGCTCTGGCAATACCTATAACATCAATCTTCAAACACAATATGCTGAGATGGCTTTGGGTTTTGAGACTCTCGGAATGCTTTCAGAAGTAACTTTTCTCTCCCTCTTTCCTGGTTTGAAATGCCAGTAGTTCCATCCCCAGTCTGCTTTTTCCTTTTTCCTCTATTTTGAGACCAGCAAATGTTGATGTTGTTCCAATACTCCTCCTCCTCTGCGCCCGAAAGAATCTCCATTCGACTCCAACATCCAGATTTTTTATATGCCGCTGCAGCTTCCTCTGAAAGGAACCTCACAAAGACATTTCTTTCCATGACACTAGCATCTACATATGCCACACCCTCACCACCTCCTTTACGTATGGTTTCTCGTAACTTCTTGGGGTCCTGAGGAGGCTCCTCAAAACTTATCTTAATAATAGCATTTGGAATGAAGTTAGGTTTAGTACTTTTATTTTTTTTCTCTTGTCCATCTACTGTATCATCAGCTGTATCATCATGATTATGCTTTTGATAATGTCCTGAAAAGTCTGTTCCTAATGACATATCTGGATTTTTATATCTGCAATTGCTATATATAGATTGTCTCTGATCTCTGATTTCTCTTACTTTCTGTTTTAGATTTCTCATATTTTCTCTTTGCATATTTAGATATTTATTTCTCAATGTCTTCCATTCCCTTTTAGACATTACTTTCAGGTAAATACTTTCTATTTCATCACCTTTCACTTTCTTGCTTCGCTTACGCTTCTTTTTCTTACTCTTCTTCTCATTGGCTCCTTGCTCTTCGCCAGCTGAAATCGCCCCACTCTCCTTACTCCCATCACTAAGGTTTCCTTCCCCAGGCTTTATTTTTTTTGAAACATTCGTCTCAGTGTCACATTCTCCTCCTGAGTCTGTCCTCTTCCTCTTAACGCTTGTATTGTCATCCATGTCATTATTAACTTCTTCCATCTCATCTCCCGGTGCAGTTTCGTTTCCGTCACTAGATTTATCTGGAACTGTTTTTTCCTCTTTGTTTACCTGCTCAGAATTTTGATCAAAATTTTTGATACTCTGAAGTTGGGCTGGGTCAATGTCTGATGGTATCCTACACTTCTCCGCACCAAATGACTCCAGTGCCAGATCTGCCATCTCCGGAGTCTGGAACTCGACAAAAGCGAATCCTTTTGGTCTACAAGAATGTTTATAACGAGGTAAAGAAATGTAATCAATAACACCATACTGTGAAAAAATCTGCCGAACCCAATCATGATCCACATGAGCAGGAATATTCTCAACATAAATTGTGCACTCTGTTTCATTAGCTTTTTTTACCACTTCCTCTTTTCTCTTAACCATACGACCATCCTCTGAAAGTTCTAGAAGTGTTGACTTTTCAACAGCTTTTTTGAGTAAGTTTGTATCATCTGTCATGGCCCTAATCTTGTTGAATTTATTACAAAAGGTCTCCAAACTGATATAAGGACCATTCTCATAAAATCGTGCCATGGTGCGATTTTTGCTGATGTTGGCTGCACTGAAGTAGAATTCCATCTGTTCTTTCAACTGATTAATAAGTCGTTTCTTCCGCTGTCTGGCTGGCTTGGGGGACTTCATCCTCTCCGTTTCCTCCTCCTCTTTTTTCACTGAAATGCTTTGGTCTTCCATTATCTGGCTCTCCTCTCCTGGTGCCACACTTTCAACTGCATCCATATTCACAAGCTTCAAATTCTATTCAGATCTTGTCAAGGTGCTTATATTCTTCTTAGAACTTGTTCCACAGCTGTAGACAAAAATAACCATTCTGTAAAATTTCTCTGCAACATATGATACAAAACATTTCTATTGATGACCATAATCTTAGTTATTACCTATAGCCTATCTTATCCCCATACTAAATAATAATAATAAATAATAATAATAATCATAATCATAATAAAAACAAGTGAATATGCAAAAGATAAACTGATATAAATATATCAACTAACTGGCACCAGGTATGGCATACAGATCCATAATAGGTCCATTATAATTTTAGTTAATTGCATTTACGTACAGCTGCCCCACTGAAGCTTGGTCACCAAAGAGTCGAGTAACCGTTCTATTTATCTTACCTGTTTTCTCTTGATTTTTGGATTTTCATTTTTTTTTTGTTTTTATGCTATTAGTATTTTCATAATAATAATCACATCAATAATAATACCAAGTCTCGATATCAAAAGCATAAGGAAAAGAATCAAGGAAGTGGGATATCAAGTAAGGTCAGTTAGGTGTACCAATTGACTCCTCAGTGACTGAGCACTCATGGAGCTTTCTGTGCGTAAGCAATATTCACAAGACAAGACCACAGTGGACTTTGTGTGCACTTGACAGCAATGGGTTACTTATTATAATCAGTAAGTATATTTTTAAAAAGTAAAAGTGATACAAAGCACTAACGTCTACATCAAACATTTTTACTCAAATTACACAATGTGGTCCACAGATTCAAGTGAAGGTGGGGGGATCCACTATTTTCAGTGCTACATTACATATACACCACAATTAATGTTCACACCAGCAATACCACAATATAAAAAATAATGAAAGAAAACATACTGGTAGCACTTTTCTCCCTTTCAAATCATATTGCACTTTCAATAATGATTCAACATGTCTGGAAAGCAATACCGTGTAGACAAGGGAAAAGAGATTTCTAAAGGTAGTGGGGTAAACTGAGAAACAAGGGACTGGAGTGGGATGAGGCGAATGTGTGTCAGAACAGAACGATAATCAAGAACACTGTTTGTAAATACCCCTTCCAAAAGCACACACCAAAATACTAAACCACCTTGATCATGGAGGAAAGACTGGTTAAACTTACATCATCAAGTATATATCGTACTGTGCAGCCTGTACAAAACCCACTTTGAAATACAAGTCAAGCAAAATTTTACCTTTGCATGAATATTTCATGAGACAAGTTACAAAAATATTAATAATCTGACCACAGATCATACCTGCAGACATCTTGTAAATCCTCTAGTTAGGATATTTGTTTGTTATCACTATTGAAAAATACCTGAATATGCCACAATGCTTCTTTGAGAACTTTATCATGTAAAATTGAAGAATCAACATATATCAAAAATAGGGCTGTAAAATCAGAGGAAAGCATAATTTCAAAATACTATAAATTCAAATTATATTAAATTATAATATAATATACAAGTTCTCAGCCCCTATTAACCATTCTATAACACCTTCTAAGCAAGAAAATTTATATTAAAAATGTCACAAAAGTATACAATGAATATTTGCAAACACTGAATCTCTAATTTGGATAGCCACTTCTCATACCAAGATTAAATAATACTCGATAGTAATAAAAATGCACGTTTAAATAAAACTGGCATCTCACATATACAAAACAACTATTTTCATATAAAGTTATGTAAAATCCCCTCAAACTTAAATTTATAAATGGTGATATCAAAATAGGCAGCAAGTTGAGTTACCAAAATGCTGACATGTACTTATATTCTTTGCACATTAGCTTCACGCAATGACTTCGTTTGTCTGCATAAATAATCGTCAGAAAATTATTTTCCCTTTTTGCAACTTCTTCTCCTGGATCTATTCAAATCACAAATGCTTAACCATAAAAAGAAAGAGAGAGAGAGAGAAAAAGAGAGAGAGAGAGATAGAAAGATAAAGAGGAGAGAGAGAGAGAAAAGAGAGAAGTGAAGAGAGAGAGAGAGAGTCATATAACTTCGTATAATGTATGCTATACGAAGTTATTACGAGAGAGAGAGAGAGTCATATAACTTCGTATAATGTATGCTATACGAAGTTATTACGGCAATGACTTCGTTTGTCTGCATAAATAATCGTCAGAAAATCATTTTCCCTTCTTGCAACTTGTTCTCCTGGATCTATTCAAATCACAAATGCTTAAACATAAAAAGAAAGAGAGAGAGAGAGATAGAAAGATAAAGAGGAGAGAGAGAGAAAGAGAGAGAGAGAAAAAGAGAGGAGAGAGAGAGAGAAAGAGAGAAGAGAGAGAGAGAAAAAGAGAGGAGAGAGAGAGAGAATAATAATAATAATAAAAATAATAAAAATAATAATAACAATAATGACAACAACATAACAACAACAACAACTCATGGGAATCCACAAACTTCACTATATGAACCAAAAATCTTCCTCAACAGGGGGCTTCGTCCCTAAACCCCCGCCTGATCCCTGCATTTCCCTGCCCCTGACTCCCACTCGAAAGTTGGGGGACTTACTCTCCATGTCGCATTCATCATGAACTATTTTCTTCTTGTCTGACATTATTTTTTGCCTGAACAATTACATCATGTATCAGTGACTATACTAACTTCTTGCTACATGACATTGTCATTAGACTTTTTCCCAACTTGGTGCAGGGATTACGTAAATGTATACCAAAGTATTACATGTTGCACAATATCATTTTCACAGATTAGAAGTGTCTCATCTTATGGATTTGAAACTGACAACTGACAATTAAAGGAAAACCCAAAATGAGGGGGACACACCACCTCGTAATACTAGTCATCTTAACACAATCACGAAGGGTTGACATTCATGTCATAGCAGACTATCCCTAACACCAGGTGATAACATCTTCTGCAGTAGTCCCCTCACTTGACCCTGGCTGCATTACTTACAAACAAACAAAAAAAACATGGCACCAGCTCCTAAATGGGTTCATAAGAGGAAACAAGAGGCAATAAAGGATGAAATTGGAAACAATGATGTTGGGAAATTAACAAAATGAACTAGAGACATTTTTGGAATCAATTAGGTCAATCAATTTAGTTACACTCTGTCAGTGGCATGCACTTCAAGCCTTCACTGAAGAAACAATGCATATCACTAAATTATATACGATGAACCATAAAATATCAACAAAACAGCATGTGTAATTCAAAGCACTTAATGTACTATGTAAAACATTGGTTATACATGCCCAATCTGAATGATCCCAAAATAATCCATTTGCAGGCTGGGAGCCACAAAAAGGCAAGAACCTTGGAAAAAAAAATATATATGAACAATAATACATAGCAATAAATATCTCTTATAAAAGAAAAATTTCAACAGCAGGCATGAGGTTTATATCAGCATAAAATAGGTTGTTTCTGAATCTTATTTAGCCCTGGGACATGCAACTCATGACTTACTCACTGAACAAGACACACGCACACACTCACACACACACACTTACACTCACTCAAACACACTCACATTCTCACATGCACACACACACAGACACACACACACACACACACACAC